AGATGGCTCCGGCACGGTGTGAATACACTCTTGTGTCTTTTTGCCATCTGCTGCTGTCATTAAAAAATTACATTTCCATCTGTTTTCACACTCCCCTCCCAGCCTCCCTTCCTGGAGGGATGCAGCACGAGTCCCAGGTTGCGAGGCCGGAACGTCGCCTCGGCTCTCGGAGCCGGCCCGGCTGCTCCACTTCCCACCCAGCTCTCTGCGGTGGCCTGGGAAAGCAGTGGAAGATGGCCCAGGTCCTTGGGCCCCTGCACCGCGTGGGAGACCTGGAAAAGGCTCCTGGCTCCTGGCTTCAGATCAGCTCAGCTCTGGCCATTGTGGCCATCTGGGGAGTGAACCAGAGGATGGAAGACCTCTCTCTCTCTCTCTGCCTCTGCCTCTCTGTAACTCTACCTTTCAAATAAATAAATAAATAGTTAAAAAAAAAAAAAAAGTGGTCCTTGAAGGAGGAATTAGTACCCCCCTTACCCCTGCAGAAAAGGCTCAGCGGGGTCGAGTGACTTCCCAAGGACACACAGCACGCCAGGCGTCTGGCCCAGCCCCGGCTGCTACCCACTCCCCCCATTCTATCTGAAAATTCCCAAGAGGCTGCACTAGCAGCCTCCACCAGCCCCTCCTCACAGGGAGGCGGAGCTTATCTGAGCAGGTGGGGAGCGCCCCCGCCCCCAAGGGTGCAGTGGTCGGGGTGGGGCTGTCTGCCTCTCCTCGGCACCCTCCCCCCTGCTGACTTCACAGTACCCAGGCAGGGCCGAGGCCTCCAACCGCAAGCAGCCCACAGCCCGGAATCCCTGTGACCCCTTGGCCACCAAGTCGTTCTCCCGTGCCTGGAAGCAAGCCCAGCCCAGCTTCCCAGGGCAGAGCAGCCGCAGCCGGGCCCTCCTGCCGGCATCCCCAGCGCACGGCCACCGCCGTTGCCATGGGCACTAAAAGCTTGGGATAAAGAGGGTGATTAGCTGCCGAGAGAGCAGGCCTCTGAGCCCCGGGGGTTGGGGGTGGGGTGGGGGGGTGGGGTGGGGACCAGGGCGCCCCCCAGCCTGGGGACTGAGGCGGGCCTGGGGTAAAGGTTGGATCTGGCTTGGGGGTGGAGAAGCCAGAGGCAGAGGAGCTGGCCTGGTCCCTAGTGCGGAGGAGGGCAGGGTCACATGGCTGGTGAGCGCCTGGGCTCTGGGCTTGAATCCCACCTCTGCCCCGCCCCTTGGGCAAGTGAGGGCAAAGGTCACCTCCTCCCACACAGCTGCTGCCCATCCCCTCGCGCCATGGGTCAGGGCCCCCAGCTCACAGGGAACAAGGGCCGGGTCGCGGGCAGAAGCCCTTGAGTAGCTGGCCCTGTGCTCTGAGCTTCCGGGGAGGACACCGGGACCGGCATGACAACGCCCATGGCCAGGGAGTGAGCACTGGGCCCTCACGGGTCCGAGCCACTGAGTGCGGAGCCGTTGGCCACACAGCAGAAAGCACACGGCCCGCTGCCCGTCTCCCAGGGCTGCCACGGCCATGCTTCCGGTTAAAACACGTCCAAGAAGCACAGGGCAGCGCCCGGCGCACGCGCGCGATGGCGTGACGTTCCCTTCGCCCACCGCCTGGGCTCGGGCAGCCTCACGGCGCAGGTTTAGGAAGAACGCGGCGCTGCTCAGCTCACGCTTCTGGGTGCCGAGGAGCACAGGCCACGGCACCGCGGCAGGCGGGGCCCCGGGCTGCACCTGCGTGCTGCATGGCGGGGGCCCTCACGTGGGGACACGGCCAGCGTGTCCCCAGAGCCACGAAAGCCACCGTGCCCCACACAGTACCCCCGCTCTAATCACCTCCCAAAGGCCCCGGCCCCAAACTCTTCAAGGCCCTGAGTTTGTGGGGGGGGGGGGCACACTCAAATCACCACGGTGAGTGCCTGCAGAGAAGCTGGTACGCGAGACCAAGTCACTGCCTGGGGGGGTCCAGGGACACGGGGTCGGGGTGCCGGGGCGGGCAGGCGACGAGGCGCCGCTTCCCCAGACAGGCACGGGAGTGAGTGTGATCCGCGAGGGGCAGCAGCAAGCCGGGCCGCAGGAGCTGGGGACAGCAAGGATCCCGCCCGCAGGGCCCCCGTGAGGGGCATCAGAGCACCGTGGGACCACAGCCCACAGAGCAGGGGCCACGGGCAGAAAGGCATCCCGGGACGAGGGCGGGCAGGAGGCGGGGAGGGGCCACACCCCGACCCCGCTTGCTGTCCCTGTACCGGGCCTCGGCGTCCTTCTCTCCCGCTGTGGAATCGAGGAAGGCCTCGGCCCAGCAGAGGGGATGCCCTGGGATTCAGGGCCTGGTCAGCAGGGCGACGCAGCTCCCGCCCGGCCTTGCTGAGACGCACGCGCTTGGACCTCGGCAGCCCCGCCGGCCAGGGAGAGGCAGCTGCGTGGTGGGTGGGGGTGTCCTGGGGCCGCGTCATCCTGCAGGTGGGTCTCCTGGCCCCCGACAATGCGTCTCAGCTGGGGTCGTGTCTCCTGGCCCCCGACAATGCGTCTCAGCTGGGGTCACGTGAAACAGACAGGCGCCCCGCCCTCCCCTTCCATCCCCCACCCCCCGCCTCCCGCCATCAGCAGCACAGACGACGGCTGATGTCTTGCATCCCCAACGCTCAGGGCTGTGTGCCATGCAGCAGCGGGGACCAAAGCCAGGGGCACACGTACGAGGACAAGCAGGAGGCGCAGCCGGGACCGAGCAAAGGGGAGGACGGCCAGGGCCGGCTTCTGCTGGGGTGGGGGCCGCACTTGCAGGCTACTCAGCGGGACCAGAGATGAAGCTGGCAGCAGAGGCGAAGGCAGGGCCCTCCAGCCCTCCCAGGGGCCCTGGACGCGGTCCCAGGGCCTGGCGCGGACGCCAGACTGCAGCAGACGGGAGGCGAGGCCGGACGCAGGCAGGCGACTGAATGTGGGACCTGGGGGACCTGCAGGAGCGGGGCAGACAGACGGGGGCGGTGAGCAGAGCTCGCGGAAGGGGAGGAGAATCACAATCTCTTAAAAAAATGGTATTTATTTTATTTATTCGAAAGACAGAGTTACAAAGAGAGAGGAAGAGGCAGAGACAGAGGGGTCTGCTATCCCCTGGTTCACTCCCTAGATGGCTGGAACGGCCAGGCCAAAGCCAGGAGCCAGAAGCTTCTCCCGGTCTTGCAGGGGCCCAAGCGCTTGGGCCGTCTCCCGCTGCTTTCCCAGGTGCACTAGCAGGGAGCTGCATCGGAAGTGGAGCAGCCGGGACTAGAACCGGCGCCCAAGGGGAAGCCAGCACCACAGGCGGTGGCTTAGCCCGCTGTGCCACAGTGCCAGTCCCCGTGCTGCCCTGTGAGGAGAGCACCAGGCGACGTAAGACTTCTCTCTGTGTCTCTACTTCCCAAATAAGATGAAAACAAATCAACAAAAACTTCTTTAAAATTAGAGATGGGGGCCTCTGGGGTAGTGATCCAGTCAGCGCAAGGCGCCATCTCACTCGAGCTGCGACCTGTGAGCGGCTGTTACAGACACACCGCCGGGGTCGGGCCAGGACAGCTGCTCGGGAAGGCCAGCGCCGGAGAGTGAGCCGCGGACGGCAGACCCAGGCACGGGAAAAGCAAGGCCACAGTGACGCAGGCAGCAGAGCAGTGGTCCCGCGGAGGTGCTCCACGCGGCTGGCGGCTCCTCTGCCCCCAGCGGCCCCTCTGGGAGCGGCGCACAGGCGTTCCTGTGGCCAGCGGCACAGGGATCCCTCATCCCTGGCCGGGGCCTGGCTCAGCAGGGATGAGAATTCCAAGGAGCGAGGGCAGAGCAGGCAGGCGGGGCCGTGCAGGGAGCTGCCCTGACCACGGGCCACCGCCACCCAGCGACTCAGCACGTGCACCACTCACCGTGGGGGAGCAGGCTGGGAGGTGGCTCCGGAAGCCGCCCTCGCCAGCAGTGGAAGGGAGGTGGAGGCAGAGCCCACGGCCTCAGCCCCGGGGGTGGCCTCTGGCACCTGCAGAAAGGGCAGGTCTGGCCTCTGTCCCGTTCCCGGGAGGTCACCTCTGGGCATTGGGATGGACGGCCTGACCAAGTGTCTGCTTTATGCTGGGGGCTCGGCCTCTGCAGCGCTGGAGGCCAAGGTCAGCCAGGCAGGCAGTCTCCCATCATGTGACCAGGGCCCAGGCCCGCCGGGGCTGGGGGTGCTTACCTGGCCGGCAGTGCTCCGAGCGTGTTGTCACCCGGCGTAGTCGGAAGTTAGCGTGGAGAGGGTTCGGCTGGAGGCTTGCCCCGGGTCTTGCGGGTGCCTCCTGCCCCTGCTGATCCAGCCTGCACTGGCTGCACCTGCTGGAACCGACCCTACCCACAGCCCCGGCGGCTCCTCTGGGGCCTGTGAGTCCTTCCAGGGCACGATGAAGCCACCCCCTGGACCATCCCCCAGTCAACTCCTGGGCTCGGGCTGTTCTTCTGGGGGAACCCGGCTACAGCGGTGGGAGGGAAACGCACAGGGTGCGCACGCCAGGACCGGGCAGGGGCCACTGTGGGCGGGCGATCTCTGCAGTGCGCTATGGCGCCTCAACACCCGCACCGTGCATCCGCACACCGCTCAAGTCCCCGCAGCTCTGCTTCCCACCCAGCTTCTTGCCAATGTGCCCGGGAGGCAGCAAACGATGGCCCCAGGGTCTGGACCCCGGCTTCAGCCTGGCCTAGCGCTACCTATGCAGGTGAGCCGCAGACCCAAGTACTCCCTCCCTCTCTGTTGCTCGGCCTTTCCAGTAGATGAAATAAACATTTTTTAAAAGGCAAGCACAACCTTGCTTCACGTCCAAGAACTGTGTATTTCTGGATCCCAAGCTGGCAGCGGCTCAAATGAGCTCCAAGTGACCTCGGGCCCCAGACCACGCCGAGGCCTACGGGGAGGGGGGTCTAAAAACGGAGGGGCACGAGACGGCCAGGGCCCCCGCGGCCCAGGACTCTGAGAGCCACCTCTGTACCTGGATCCCCGTCTCCCCCACCCCTCCCCGCCCCCCGCCCCCCGGGAAGCAGGACTCCCACTTCGTAACGGAGTCTTTATTCAGAGTGCAAAAGAGGATTTGGAGGTCACTTTGCTGGAGGTCACGTCTCGGTGTCGGTGAGACAGCGCGGCAAAACCCGCGCCGCTCCTCACGGAGAAGTCCGCGTCGCTGCTGGCCTCGGGGCGGGTCCCACGCCCGCCTGCTCGTCCAGGGCAGCCCTCACCCGCCGGGCAGTGCCCTCTCCTCTTCTTCTTCAGCTGGGGTCAGCCGGAACGTGGAACGGAGGTCTACGGACGGGGCCAGGCCTCCCGCCGTGCCTCGCGGTGCCCAGCGCAGGGTCCCAGGCAGCCGGGACCCCGGATGCCTGGAGCAGGAGCCAAACTGGTGGCCGGCAGCTGGCTCCCCTCAAGCTTCGGGGTCGATGTCTCCGTCATCCGGGCCTGAACCTGTCTCGTCCAGCCAGACTAAGGGCGGAAGGGGATCAGCGTTGGGACGGGGCCCCCACCCCGCCGGGCCCTTTGCTGCAGACTGCCCAGGCCTGTGCCCACCCCCACCCCGGGGGCTGCGGCATCACAGGAGCCTGGGCAGGCACCCAGGAGCGCTGGCCTCTCGGGGAGCCCCAGGCCAGCTCCCTCCACGCTCTGCACCTGCTCTCCAACCTTGTGCTTGGAAGTCTGGGCCCTGGGCCCCTCCCGCAGCTGCCCCTGCTGGGGGAGGGCTGGGGCGATGCCACCTCCAGCCTTGGTCTTGTGGATGAGCCGAAGGCGCAGGGCGGGGCCCTGTCGGCAGGGCTGCCGGGGACACCTGGGTCCTCGCTCGGCACCCCCGGGGCCGGCCATCTTTCCTGCTGCAGAATGCCAGCCACGCTGCCAGTGTCCTCTCGTCATCCCCACCTTACAGATGGGTAAACTGAGGCCTGGGGGCGGTGCCTCTCGTTCGTGGTCGCACAGCAGGTAAGAGCCAAGGCCGGGCCTCAAACCGAGGCCAGTGCTCTGTCCTGCACCTGCGTTGTTGGGAAGCACAGTGGGCGGGGCTGGAGTTCCGCCACCTGACTGAGCAGGAGGGGAGAGCACAGGAGGGTAGGGACACAGGTGCCCTGATCCTGGACTAACCCAGGGACGCCTGAGCCCAAAGGAACCCCGAGGGGGCTTTGGCACAGCAGGGAAGCCGCCACGTGGGAGGTGCCTGGGTTCAAGTCCTGCTCTGCCCCCGATTCCGATTTCCTGCTACTGTCACTCCCTCTGGGTGACAGTGGTGACGGCTGATGTCCATGGGAGGCCTGGATGGAGCTCCCTGGCTGACCCTGGCCCTCCCTGGCTGACCCCGGCCCCAGCCGCCGTGGGCACTTGACGGCAAACCAAAGGACAGGGGCTCGCTCTCGTCGCTCTGCCTCTCAGAAATAAAATCGATTAAAAATAAGCAAATCAATGAAGCCCCCCCGCACAGACCCCGCAGAGCAGCTGTCATGGCCCTGGGCTCTCGCTGCCCGGGGAGCAGGCAGCACCGGTGAGCTCATCTCACAGGGCGGAACCGGAGGCCTGGGGGGAGGGGCTGGAAGGCAGAGCAGGCCCCACCCCCAGCTCAGACACCAGCTGGGGGATGGGGGGGGCGCTGCGGGGGGGGGATAGCCCTGCCCCCCCCCCGTCCCCTCCCCGGCTGTGTGCCCTTAGGGGGTCCCTGTCTGTCTCTGGACCTGGCCCTTCCCCGTGCCCAGCCAGAGGTGGACGCCACTCAGCCTACTTGGCTGGAACAATCAGCCCAGCTCCCGGGGAGGCTCGGTGCCAGGTATGGGGGAAGCCATGGAGAACACGACCCACGGCTCCCGGACCACGGAGCGTACCACTGGCTCTGGAGGGCAGGCTGGGATGTAGATTCGGCTCATCCAGGACATTCTACCCAAGCACCGCCCCCCGCGGTGCCCGCCACACACTTTGTATCAGCAGGTGCCCAGCAAGGCCTGTGTGTCGGGGGCTGGGAGTGGCTCCCGCCAGGGCTCCGGGTCCCCAGCTCAAGCCCCAGACCACAGAGGCCAGCCCTGAATCGCAGCTCCACCACCTACCAGCTGTGTGGCAGGGATCTCCCTGAGCCTCAGTTTATCCACCTAGGAAATGGGGATGAAGACCCCACCTGCCTCAGAGTCCCCGGGAGCGCTCGGTGGGAGGAGCAGCCCACCGCCCTTAGCCCGGTGAATCTGTCGGGGATGAGCCCCAACACGCGCCCGCCCGGGCCTCCCTCTCTCCCTCCCGCTGCGGGGAGCCGTCTCCCTCCCTCTAGCAGGCCCAGGGCCCAGCCCCAGCCTGGGCGCAGGCTGATTCCAAGTCGCGCTGTGCGGCCAGCAGTGGCTGCCGCCAACGGCAGGCAGCGCCGTCCTGTTGGCAGGAGACAGCGCATCCATCAGGGAGCCTGGCCGGCCCTGTCCATCCATCATCCCGGCTGCCAGCAGGCCTCGTCCAGCCCATCGCTCTGCAGGCTGCGTCCTGCTGGGGCTGGGGCCATGGCCAGGGGTGGCCGGGTCCCAGCACACATTCATCGGCCCTGCCGCGGCCCCAGCCCAGCCTCACCTGTCGGCCTCGAGTCCCGGGGCAGCAGCACGCCCGTGGGGGTGGGGGGCGTGATGATGATGTCGGGCACGTCCAGGTGCTTGTCGCTCAGGACGGGGGCCTGGTCGTGGCTGCTGCCGGCGCTGCTGACACACATTTTAAACCCTGAGAGGCCGGGCCGTGGACACACACGGACACACACGACAGAGAGACAGGCATGAGTGGCGCCAGGGAGCTGCCGCCGCGGCCGCCTCCCTCCTCTTGCCATCGCTCTGGGTCTGAGGGTGGGCGGCAGGTGGCCACTGCCGTCCCCGCTCAGAGACGAGGAAACCGAGGCCCAGGGAAGGCCCCCCCCCAGGCCCCATCACTCAGCGAGTCTCACTCCCTACTGGACCCTCAGTGCCCAGGAGCCCGACGGGCACGGCAGCGACGGTGCCTGGAACACGGCTCTGACCGCAGGGAGACCCCCGAGCTCGGCTCCGACCCAGCCCGGCGGACTCTGACCCACGGGGGGCGGAGCCGCCCGGGCCTGGGCCGTCTCTGCCCAGAGGCTCCTCAGGGCAGACTTGGTTTCTGGATAGACACGGGCTTCGTCTCACCCGTGTCACTCCTGGCCATTTCTTCTAAGTGGCTGAATTCACCCACCTCCCTCGCCCATGTGTTATGTCCTGGTAACCCGGCCAAGCCCAGGCACAGGTCCCCGCTGATATGAGCGGCTCTGGTGGGGGCCGGCGTCGTGGTGCAGTGCTATGTGGGCATATCCCATGTCGGGGCGCCCGCTGGACTCCCGGCTGCGCCACTTCCCATCCAGCTCCCTGCTAGTGCACCTGGGAGGGCCACAGAAGCCGGCCCAAGTGCTTGGCTCCTGCCCCCCACGTGGGAGACCTGGATGGAGTTCCTGGGCTCTGGCTTCAGTCTGGCCAGACATGGCTGTGGCAGCCGTCTGGGGAGTGAACCGTGAACGGAAGATCTCCCTCTCCACCCCCCCAACACACCCACAAATCTTAAGGGAAAAATAAAGCAGTACTTGTAGTCTACTTGCAGACTCTCCCTGGGCCACCTGCAGCCAGTGCCCGCCCCCAGCCTGGTGATGAACCAATCAGCAGGCCTCCTCCCTCCTCAGGCTGCTCACCAGTCTTCTTACCCACCTCCCCCGCCCCGGGCTTATCCCTCTTGGTCCAGATGACAGCAGAACCTGCCAATCAGGTCACAGCCTGTGTGTGCGGGTCCTGACAGCTTCCCCAGCTGTCCCTCACACTGGCCCCTCCCTTCCCTCGGGACGGCACCAGGATCAAAGGAACCCGAGCCTCATAGCGCACGTTTCCACGCTGACCAAATTCCGCCTGCTCGGGCCTCCTGAGACACACACGCGTCAGAGAATTCAAGGCTGGGGGGGGTGGGGCACTGTGGCATAGGAGGTTAAGCTTCCGCCTGCAGTCCCTGCATCCCATATGGGTGCTGGTTTGAGTCCCAGCTGCTCCACTTCCCATCCAGCTCTCTGCTGTAGCCCGGGAAAGCAGTGGAGGATGGCCCAAGTGCTTGGGCCCCTGCACCCACGTGGGAGACCTGGAGGAAGCTCCAGCTGTTGAGGCCATCTGGGGAGTGAACCAGCAGATGGAAGACTTCTCAGGCTCTGGGTCTCCCTCTCTCTGTAACTCTGCCTTTAGAATACAGTGAATAAATCTTAAAAAAAAAAAAAAAAAAAAAAAAAAAAAGCTCTGGGGGCCAGATAATGCAGCCAGCTCCCTGCTAATGAACCCGGGAGAGCAGTGAAAGATGGCCCACCTCCTGGGACCCTGGCACCCACAGGGGAGACCCAGATGAAGTTCCCGGCTCCTGGCTTTGGTCTGGGCCAAGCCTGGCTATTCTGACCACGTGGGGAGTGAACCAGCAGATGGAAGGCCCCTCTCTCTCTCTCTCTCTCTCTCTGCTTCTCATTCTCTCTCTGTGTAACTTTAACTTTCAAATAAATAAATAAATTAAAAAAAAACACTCAATGGCCTTCGGCAGGGGCCAAGGGTGCCAGCCCGGGAGCCCAGTGCAGCGCCCGGGACAGAGCCGGGAGCGCGCTCAGCATTCTCAAGGGCAGCGTCAGGAATCTGCAGCGCCTGCGTCCCCAGGGAGCCCGGAGCGGGATCACGGCAGCCCCCCGGGTGGGGGGGGGGGCAGAGGCCGCGGCCAGGCACCCCGAGCCAGGGATGCTGTTCCTAGCGCCCCCAAGAGGCCCGCGTGCGTCCCAGACGACTTGGAGACGGCGGCCCACACGCAGCTCAGGACACGCAGCCTCCTGCGTGCTCCCTCTCGGGGCCGGGCCACGCGAGGAGAGGCCCGCGTGGGGCGGAGGGAGCCACGCCGGCGCTCGGCTCCTGGCTTGCAGGGGAGACGGAGCCCCCGCAGCTGGGTCGCTCCCTGCCTCAGTCGAGTCAGTCAGAGCCAGAGCCGCTTGCCAATATCCCGCCCCCCTGAAGCTGAGGCCGGAGACGCCTGCTGTCTGAGCTGCGAGTCTGCGGCAGGTGCTTCGCACTGGGTGACGGTCGGCGCTAAGGACGCCTGCCCGGCCCCGGGAGGCAGCGCTGGTGGAGGCCGGCACCGCCCGCCGGGAGATGGCGGGAAGCCCACACCTGCACCGCCGGCTTCCCCCTCGGTGAGCGGAGCCCGTGTCTCCAGTGAACCAGAACCCAGTGTCCGGCTCCCGGGGGCTTCTGGGGGTCCTTTCAGCAACGGCCACACCTGAGGGGGTGTGGGAGCCCGACTCACGCCTGGGCTCAGAAGTGGGGCGGGCCGTGCGGCCGGCACGTCCCTCACCTCGGCGGCGCCCCGTTTTTGACAAACGTGGGGTGGGGTCACCCAGCTGTCTGAACCCCGCGGTGCCTGGCGCCAGCCCGGCCCAGGGAGCTTGTGTCACTGTCGCCCCCTGCTGGGCCCTCCACTGCAGTCTCCGCGGTGGGACTTGGAGCCCCTGGGGACCGGGGCTTGGACGTGGCTCGCTGGGGACCGGGCTTGGACGGTGGCTCGCTGGGGACCGGGGCTTGGACGGTGGCTCCGGAACTTTCTCTGCAGCGGCAGAACACCCCTCCCGCCTCACCGGAGCCCAGGGCGGCACAGCGCAGAGAAAGCTCCCGAAGAGGCCCCGGCCCCGTGAGCGCCTTCCCGTTTGGCCCTTGCCGCCCGGCTGGGGCAGCGCTACCAGCCCAGCTCACAGCAGCGGAGACAGAGACTGGGCCGAGAGCCACCTGCACACGCAGGGACCGGCTCGGGGCAGAGCCGCGGTCTGCACCCACACGCCGGCCGCCGCCGGCGCTTCCCGTAACCACGGTCCTGCCCGTGGGAGCCAGCAAAGTGTCTGAGAGGGGCAGGCAGGAAAGAGCTCCTTTAAGGATTTATTTGAAAGGCAGAGTGAGCGAGAGGAGAGCCTTCCATCTGTTCACCCCAGATGGCCCCGACTGCCAGGCCTGGGCCAGGCCAAAGCCAGGGGCCCTAGCCTGGTTTCCCACATGGGTGGCAGGGGCCCAAGCACCTGTGTCATTTCCCACGGCTTTCCAGGTGCACCCACGGGGAGTTGGATCGTCAGCAGAGCAGCTGGGACGAGAACCAGCGCCCACACGGGCTGCCGGAGGCCAAGCTGCAGGTTAACCCACGGTGCCACAGCGCCGGCCCCAGGCCCCGATTCCGTGTGGCCTGCACCAGCTACACAGCTTCGGTCCCTGCGGAGATGAGTGGGCGTGGCCGCCCCAACACCAGCTCACGGGAACAGCCGGCAGCCCGCGTTCAGCCCTGGCAGCACTGTGGTGGCCAAGCCTCCTCCGTCCTCTCTGGACGGGCACAGGCAGCCTGACCTGGGACAAGTCCGAGCCTCTGAGAGCTAAGGGCTCCTTAACGCCGGAAGCAAAACCCAAGCCCCAGGCCCAGGCTGCAGGTGGGCAGTGGCCTGGCAGGACGAGGGGTGCACGGGGTCCCCTCCCCACCGTAAACGCTCCTGGGGAGGCCCCGCCGAGCTGGGAGGCTCCGGTGCACTTCCTCCCGAGGTTCCAACCCCGGAGTGGAGGGTGCTGGCAACGCCCACGCCCACCGCGGTCGGGACGCCAGGAGGGGTGCGGGAGGGCGGGGCCCCAGCTCAGGCCGGGGAGGGAAAAGCTCTGAGCTGGATAAAGCCGACTTTGGGGATTAGAAAGCAAACGCCAGCTCTGGCCGGGAGGGGGCCTCCCGTGTGCTGAGGCCGGATTGTGACTCGTTAATTGCGTGCCTGCCTCGGGCTATTAAAAGCCTATTTCCTGAGGGGAAGGGCCTGGCTGGGATTCCGGGGGCCAGGCCTGGGGGCAGGATGGGGGCTGGTGCGGGAAGCCCTGAGGGCCGGCGGCTCAGCCGAGGGCTGGGGGCTGCAGCGGCCATGGGGGCAGAGCCCTGTGCAAACCAGACTCAAAGCCCTGCCCCCAGCGCCCCGTGTGAGCCTTGCACAGGGTCGTGGTCCCGGTGTGACCGCTGCCCACTGGGATCCCCTGGGACGCGCCACGCCCACGCAGGCCCCTCCCACCCGCACCATCAGGCCAGGGCTGGTGGCTTTACTCTCCCAGCCTCAGCTTCCCTGTCTGTAAAAACGGAGCCGTGAGACCACCTTGCAGGAAGAAGCCTGGCATGGGACCCACGGCCGCCCAGTGTGGGACACACAGCAGCCAGGGCCTGGGAAATGCTGGCCTGGGGTGACCAGCTCCCTCCACCGCCCCCTCAGTGTCCCTGGCCAGGCTTGTCCTCAGCACCCCCCACCACGCCCCGCCCCATGAGAACAGCAGGGTCACCGCCCTTCTGTGTACACGGAAGCCAAAGCTCACAAAGGCGGGGGTGAGGGGTCCCAGCACGTTTCCACACCAGCGGCTGCTTCTCCTGAGGCCCGAGACCCCGCATCCAGCGCCACACCCCACCCGGCACTGCTCCCTGCTTCTGCCTCCAACCCAGGACCAACGCCAAGCCCTCTGCAAGCATCGCGGCTGAAGGGTGCCCTCTACTGGTTCTTTGGAGGACAGCACCAGTGCCTGCCCGGAACCCAGCTCTCCCCACCGGGCCCTGCCACGCACCTGGTGGGACCACAGTGCAGGGAGGCCAGGCACACCTGGCTGAGACCCACCTGCTTCTCGTGTCTCTGCTCCCTCTCCTGCTAGCTGTGGATACAG